TCGTCCTCACTGTGTCTCTGTCTCACTCGTCCTCACTGTGTCTCTGTGAACTGTCCTCTCTCTAAATGTGCCTGTAGAGTGACATTAGTTTATTTTATTTAACATTTCTTTGACAGTTAAACTTTTTGAGCCCTGATTGAAAATGTTTGTGCAGATTAAACTTCCAGCTCTCACTTTGTGTTGTTGTGATGATGATGATGATGATGGTGCTCCTGCTGACTTGAGATGATGTCATTAATAAACAGTATAAATGTCAGTAAAAGTACTTTATTAAAGCTTGCTTTACATTTTACATATGTTATAATTGTTTGGAAATTTATTTTTGCACAGTTAACACTTATTTTGTCATCTGTTATGATTTTAACTAGAAACCGTTTCATTTAAATTAACATTTTAATCAATGAGTTACAGTTTTACAATAGTTGTCAGGCTACAATCAACTCAGTTATCAGGTACTTGGTTGCCATAAAAAAACGACAAATACAACAATTATATTCAGTCCCTCTTGTAAATGAGTCCTCGTGGCTCAATGGGACGAACCTGTTTAAATAAAGGTTGAATTAATATCTTCTATAGAAATCAAGAATTCATCCAGATGATCTGAGGTAAGCTGGAGCAGATCTGAACTGCATGGAGGACAAGGTGGAGCATTCTCATGCAGAGAAAATCACAATTAGTTTTATAACAGGAGTTACTCTGATCTTTTTTTATTGTGTGTAACGTTATAAAACACTGATATGGCTATATTGATCATTGTATTGCATATACATTATTTTTTCTAACAAATATGTGTTTGCATTCTCGTTTCCTTCTAAAATTTAATGATAAATGTATCAGCCGCTTCTAAAAATGCTTTGATAAAATGCATAGTTTGTGAAATAATCAATAATCGGTTAAGTAATCAGTTCGTTACTGCTCAATAATTACTGAAAGACGCCAGGTAAAGTAAGAAAAGTCGATTTTTGTGTTATGTTGCACCAGCAGCCGCTCAAACTGACTGACAGCGATGAGCTGTTTGGAACTATGGGGAGCTGCATGAACCACGTGACCGCGTATCGGCGAGTTCAAAGAGTGTCGCAACTCTCTCTTTACAGGGCTCTGGGCATTCTAAATGACGTGTGTGTGCATTGGTACAAAACTAAAATCAGTTTGACGCGTCTTCTGTTCTTCACGGTCAGGGCTGGGAATCTTCCTTCCTTCCCCGTTCCACTTGACTGACCGACTTAGGCAGAGCGGAGACTTCTTCTCCAATGTTTGCTACTGCCTTTTCCTACCAGAACAAAGGGGCAAAGAGTGAGCTCCCACGAAGGTCCTGTCACCTCCTCCAGGTGTAGTGGGGAGCTGTACTC